TGACTGAGGTAGAGAAAGCAACTGAACTCAAAAGGTTTAGATGCCCAAGCAATAAGCAGAGATTAAATCGGGAGGGTTTTCATTTTGAGAAATGACAGCTCAAAATTCTAAAGTTTATAAAGTGAGTAGAAATAATTATCAATTCATAACGAACATGGATTAAAGTGTAAGGAGAAAAGTCAGCTGGTCAAATTCAACTAACCTACTCATTGACAAATGCTAGAAATGTAGGCCCCCAAGTGTAAACCAGATTGCTTCAGAGTCAGTTGAGAATAGGTGATGCTTATTGAAGCAATGGGTGTTTTGGGGATGGGTACCAAAAAAAAGAACTAGGCTTTTGTGGTGCAGTGGTAGTATCCCTATCTCTGTGCCAGAAGGCTTAAGTGCAAGTCCTACCTTTTCCAGAGGGGTGACATAACACATCTGAATAGCTTAATTTAAAAAAAAAAACAGTTCAACTTTTCAACAGTTGGAGAGTTGCCTCTGGGTAGGGATAGGAAGAGGATCCAGAAAAGGGTAGAAACTGGTACTTGTGCTGAACTGTACATTAAAAACAAGTTTTAAATCCCAATGTCATCAGCTGCCTGACTTCAGTACATTGATATCTATTAAACACTCCAAACAATGATTTTTGATGCTTAAATTTTAATTATCCAGTACTTGAATTAAGCAAGAACATTGCATAGTGATATTTAGTGCTAAAAACGTTCAGTGTGTTTTGAATAAAGTACCTCTGAAATAAGAACATGTTGTATTCGTGACAGCTTGGCGAACGTCAAACTGACAGCCAAATAGACAGTGCTGGAAAATTCAAGAGACAGTTGGAGTTATTTTTGAAAAAAGAAATTGAGAGATATGGATGCTTAGAATACATTAAGTTGGCAAAATGATTGAATAGTCTGTATAGTTAGTTTTAGGTGTTGTTCCTCAATCACTCAGGTCTCATTAGAAACAATGTAATACATAAAAATGTCACTGAGATATAATATCATTAAATTCATTTCAAGTGTGAAGAGGATTTGTTATGAAAGATTAACAAAGCTTTAGGTTCTATAGAGAAGAGTGGACACTTAGAAGGAGCATTTAAAAAGAAATATGAAGTTGTAAATAGCTCCAGTGAAAGGTATTTTGTTCGAAGTATTACTTTACAGGATCAGACTTTTGTGACACAGTGGTAATGTTCGTGTGATCCAGGAGGACCACGTTCAAGTTGCCTGGATGTGTGTCATTACATGTCTGAACTAGTTGATTAAAATAACTATAACTTTGCAGGATTTCAGACCATGTGAAGACCAGGCCAGAGATGGACTGGATCAATCAGGGGAGCAAGAGCAGCAGCAATTTAAAATGTGGACTCAAAAGCATTGTTGTTGCTAGGCAATCATTACACTTAAAAAGTATTTCACTAATAATGTCAAAAAGACGAATATAAATCTAAGTTTATTCCCCTTAATTGATAGAGCTAAGGAAATTGAGATTTATTATCAAGTATACCAACAATGGAAGAGAGTATGAATGAATATTAAGATCAAATCTCATTACACATGCATGATCATAGTGGATTTAAAAGAAGCAGCATTTAACTGAACTTTGAAATATCAAATAAAAATTACAATTGTAACAAAAAGTCTGGTCAGCAAAGCAAAAGATCTGTAAGAGATGCAATCAATGTGCTGAGTCAGTGTTTTGAGAGTAGATCAAACATCAAATACCAAAATAACAACGATAAAGTAACGTCAATGCAGTGACTTTGGATTTTATGAATGGCGCAACAAAACCAGCTTGGCACTCAGGTCTAAGGAAGACCTCTAGACTCTACAGGTGGGATTTGAAACAACGAAACACCATTGGGAGTAAGTTGATATTTGATCTGGATTAAAGTTGAATCTGCATGCTGCAAGTATTATTTAGATGGGTGTACATTTCACTGGATGAGACACTGAAGATGGCTCCTGAAACAAGCTGAAGAATTTATTTTGGTAGTTTGATTACCCAAACTGCAAATGAAACATACCTACACCTAAAGAGTCACACTGAACTCAGAACATCAACTTTTTCTCTCTTCACAGTTTCTGCCAGGCCTGCTAAGTTTCTCCAGCTTGTTTTTACACCAGACTGGTGGTTTGTTTTTCCTGATATAGATTGCAATTTCTCATTCTGTCCATACTTCAGGCTGGAGAAATGAACACAGTCATTTCCTGAGCCAATTCTGCCTCCATAAAAGTGTGCAACGTTGTTTTATTGGCAACCCACATATAGAGATAGAAGGACACACTACACATGTTTCCGTATGCAAAGCCCTACAGATGCACTCTATCCAAAGGCTTTAATTACATTTAAAATAACATAGCTGCAGAGCCAGCAGATTTGCCTACAGTAGAATAGGTGCAGCAGCTGGCACCATGCCATCAAACTCCAAGCTCAGTTATGGTCTATTCATTGTCTGCAAGAAAAGACTCAAAACAAATTACACAATTATTCATGAACTAAGCACTTTTTCCAAACTATAAACTTATGTAAAAGGTCCAAAGCACTGTCACAGCTAAAAAGAGAGACAAGTTTAACAGCTAGATAAAGTAGCAGTGTTTAGATGACACTACGGAGTTCCTAAATTCCATAGTTTGCACAAGGGAGGAAAGATTAAGATGGCAAAAAACGACCCCACTATAGAGATTTTGACAAAAGCGTGTCAAATTTGATTTCAACATTAGGTGAACATTTTATTTTTAATTTAAAAAATAAATTACAAATTTTCATTTCTTAATACCAAATATAAAAATATAGGTTGCATAAAGTATTACCCTCAGTGTTATGCTGTAGCTGCCAATGCATTTGTAATGAAATGGAATGTATTTTACAGGCCCAAGTTGTACTGAAGATTTCCAGATGACTCATGGTACTCCTCCAGAAACTACGCACACTTACACCCTTGAAATGGTTTCTGGAAATGCAAACTCAAGTATCAAAAGACACATTCTGACAAAGCTTTTCAGCTTGCACTTCATTAAGACAATCCACAAAAATAATCAAAGGAAAGGAGAAAAGAGGGGTCAACATTTATACTGCTCGAGACAGAGTGTACTGATTGATAGAGGCAGTGTCATGGAGAATGCACCCGTTAAATAACTGTCAGTTAACTGCCAAGCATCAAGTTTTAAACATGGCAGGTTGACTGACTGATTATGGCACTGCCTTGAGAAATGAACCAGATAATGGTTGTCACCTAGTCTGTTGTGGCAAAATAGGCAGTGTTTGCATGTATTCTGTCTGTCTGCAACATATATGTTCAGTATGTCTTGTAAATTGTCATGAGTGCAAGATGGAAAGCTTCAACAAAATGTTTCTTTTCCCCCCCCCTCCGAATAAGGCTCAGATTCAAACTGCTATTCACTTTAATAGAACACTGAAAATAGATTACTTTGCTATCAGCACTGGCTAGATCAATGCTGAACCAAAACAGAAAGCCACTTCCATTACCCAAGGACTCAGCTTTCAAATTTGTATTGAGGCAAAAGGGACATACAATACAATGGTCGAAACTTATCATGATTTCATTGTCATTAAGATCTAATAGCGGCAAACTCTGGCTGTGGCAACGTTGTCAGCATTCACACAGCCAAAACAGGAAATCGAACTGAAGGATGCACGTAAATCAAAAGCTCTGGACTTGTAACTTCAGATTAACCAAACATGTGCACATTTGCCACATGACTATGCTAACCATCAGGAGTGGAGTTAGACCACATAAATCACAGGCAAGCCATCATTCAACACAGATCCCTCTGAAAAGATGCTCAAATCCTGCAAGTATGACTGAACTAGCGACAGTTAAAATTGCTGTCAATTGGAGAGAAGGTGAGGTTGATACAGCATGTGAAAAGCTATGCTGTAAGGCAGAAGAAACTTTCTTGCCGCCCAACTCTGCCAAGCACCAGCAATGTTTGACTGTACTGCTGACATGGCAGATGGTACTGCACTCATCTGAAGAGAGCATGACAGAAAGAAAAAATGAGCTTTTCTACAGCAACTCCCAACATTTTTCAATACTTTTTACTATACAAAGTCAGGCCATTGTATTGTAAGGTGTGGAGAAAATTGGAAAATGAAAAATATTTTCAAGCATTGATTGCAACACTGTCTCCATTTCCTTTTGGCAGCACATGTTTGCAGCCAAACCAGGTTAGATATTGGCTTCCTCAGCTACCACAAAGCTCCGTTTAACACAAATTTGTGGGCAGGCCCCCAGCACTTCAACTCAAATTTTCTTCAATTACTACGGCATATGTCTCTTAACAATTGCAGGACTAAAGAACACTAAAGATCCAAATTGGGGGAACTATGGTCCAGTGAAACAGTCCAAGAATAGAATATCATTTGCCTTCCATTTAGCAAATTGTTTGGAAAACTGGGACAGATAGTAGTCGAACTTCTATTGAAAATTTTTAGTTACATTTGGTGATTAACATTCTACATTCCTGCAGATTCAAACCCAATCAAATTAACATTTCTTAAAAGTTACAGGTTTCCCTGCATCTCTATTGAAATGTACAAGACAAAGAAATGGCCAAATAATTGAAGAGGGCATTTAGTACAGCAGATATCTCTGCCACTTAGCATTAACTCAACAATATTGCAGTTTTTCTCTACCTGGTTGATATCTTGCAAGTAAAAGCTGAAAAAGTCATTTTTAAAAGATTATCCATTCCATTCTGGCCCATCCGCATCCAATAAGCTGTTCTGAAAATTGTGTTCACCACTTTTTAATGGCTATGACAGATTTCAAAGGAGTGAAGAGATTCCAAGGCGTACTAAATAAGGTAATCCACAATATTTTCACCAAATCAATTTTCCCCATCTTCCAATATTAACAAATCCTTTTAAAAAAATTTCAAGATCAAAATCTTTGCCAAAAACTAATGAGCTCAGCCTTGGACTATTTCACATTTTATTGTAATTCATCCATGAGATTTTGAGGCAGACTAACAGAGTGAAAACATTACCTCTGCCCTCCTTCAGAGACTTGGGTAATAATCAGAATCAGAAAATGCTGCAAATCTTCAGCAAATCCATCAGCACCTGAAGTGAGCAAAGACAGATTTACATTTCAGTCATATTTCTACATATAATTCCGATCACAGTTTAATTAGGGAGGAGGAAAGAACAAGGTAAACATCAAGTTCCTAAATCTGGGCAGAGATGAAATTGGCATTTGGACCGCATACAATGAACATCATTGGACAGGCAAAATCTTTCCTCATTCACACATACCTATACATCATAAAATTAGGTTCTATTTCAATTACTGTGCATAGAGCAAATTCAATTTTAAAAGTTACTTTGACTACAGCAGGAAAGATTGTGAACCAGCATTGAAATGAATCAGCAAAAAGAGTTTTTAATATGTGCTACATGATTGATTTTTTCTGAAATAACTGGCAGTCAGACCAATGATTTTGGCTGAACCTCTTAATTTAGCATCTCAAATAGTGGCCGTGGCGAACAATCAGAAGGAAGAACTACCAGGCTATCTTGATGATGGACAGCTTGAAATATTGTCACCAAATGCATCCTAAAGTTGAAAATGAAAAAGAACTCCACTTTAAATGCACAGCTAGAAGTTTCTCAGAGCTCAATCAGATGCCTGCTTGAAATAATGTTTCACTCTAGCCCTGATAGTACAGAATTTCCACAATTAGTAACCACTGACCACTACAGACCACTATGCCCTGTAATTCCAGATTGAATCACAGTGCAAAACAAGTAACATAAAAAGAAAATATCTTTTTAAAAAAAGTGGTCACCTACCATGAATTAATCAGATTTGAATTCAAAAGTAGACATCACTTAATTGCCCAGTGAGGCAAGTTAAATATTGCTTGGCAGTGTAAAGTTTAAATATTATTAAAAAAGGAGGCAAGATGTTGTAGCTTTTCACCTTGCACTCACAGGACCAGGAGGCAAGAAACAGTCTGAAATGGAACACCAGCACAAGAAGTGGGTGCTGACTTAATGCCAACAATGGCGCATTCAATGAACTGGAGAAAAAAAAGAAAAAAATAGTACATTAAAGTTGGATTCTAAATGCATGGAAGATGCAGCATAAATGTGAGGATAACAAAAACAGCAAGGCAGATTATTATCTGAGTGGCATAAAATGAGAGGGGGAATGAATGTGCAACAAAACTTAGGTATCCTCGTACACCTATCGCTGAAGGTAAGCATGCAGGTTCAGCAGACGCTAAAGACAACCAATGGCACATTTGCCTCTATAGCAACAGGATTAGAGTATAGGAGCAGGGATGCCTCACTGCAATTATACAGGGCCTCGGTGAGAGCACAACCAGAATAATGCGTGCAGTTTTGGTCTCCTTATCCAAGGGAAGGATATTCTTATAATAGATGGAGGCACCAAAGGTTTATCAAAGAACAGGTTGAATCAGTCAGGATATTAGAGTCTGTGCGGGATGCTCTTTAGAGTGTTTAGTGCAGACTTGTTGGGCTAAATGGCCTGTTTCCACACTGTAGGGATTCTATGGTTAGCTGGAGTTCAGTAGAATGGAGGGGATCTCAGAAACCTATGAAATTCTAACAGGACTAGTTAGAATAGATGCAAGAAGGATGTTCCCAAAGGCAGGGGAGTCCAGAACCAGGGGTCACACTCCAAGGATACAGGGTATGCCATTTACGACTGAGATGAGGAGAAATTTCTTCACCCAAATTGCATGTCGGTAAGGCAAATCAGGGCAGGGCTTATACAGTTAAATGGTAGGGCCCTAGGGAGTGTTGCCAAACAAGAGACAAAGGTATGCAGAAGCATAGTTCCATGAAAGTGGAGTCACAGGGTAGACAGGGTTGTGAAGGAGGCATTTTGTATGCTTGCCTTCATTGTTCAGAACATTGAGTATAGGAATTGGGATGTCATGTTGCAGCTGTAAAAGGACATTGGTGAGGCCATTTATAGAATTCCACATACAATTCTGGTCACCCTTCCATAGGAAACTTGTTGTTAAACTTGAGATGGTGCGGAAAATATTTACAAGAATTTGCCAGGAGCGGAGGCTTTCAGTTATAGGGAGAGGCTGAATAGGCTAGGGCTTTTTCACCCTGGAGCTTTGGCGGCCGAGGGGTGACCTTAGAGGTCTATAAAATTATGAGGGGCATGGATAGGGTGAAATAGTCAAGGTCTTTTTTGCAGGGTAAGAGTCCAAAAATGGAAAGACGTAGATTTAAGGACAGAGAGGAAAGATTTAACTTTTTCATGCAGAGGGTGGTGCACATTTGGAATGAGCTGTCAGACATTGGGGCGGCACGGTGGCTCAGTGGTTAGCACTGCTGCCTCACAGCGCCAGGGACCCAGGTTCAATTCCACGCTCGGGCGACTGTGTGTGGAGTTTGTACATTCTCCCCGTTTCTTCCCACATTCCAAAGATGTACAGGCTAGGTGGATTGGTAAATTGTCAGTAGTGTTCAGGGATGTGTAGATTAGGTGGGTTACAGGGGGATGGGTGTGGGTGGGATGCGCTGAGGGTCGATGTGGACTTGTTGGGCCGAAGGGCCCGTTTCCACACTGTAGGGATTCTATGATCTTCTATGACAAAGTGGTGGTGGCAGGTACAATTACAACAACATTTGAAAAGGCAGCTGAATGGGCATATTAATAGGAAAGGTTTAGAAGGATACGAGCCAAATATTGGCAAATGGAACTAGGCAAGATTGGGATGTCTGGTCGGCACGGAGGAGTTGGACCGAAGGGTTGCTTCAGTGTTGCATCACTCTCCGAAAGCAGTAAGCCTATGGAATTCTCTGCCACAGAAAGGAGAGGTCAAAACATTGTATGATTTCAAGGAGGAGTTGGATATAGCACTTGGGGCTAAAAGGATCAAAAAAGATATAGGAGAAAAGCATGAACACACTATTGAGTTGGATGATCAGCCATGATCATAACGATTGGCAAAGCAGGCTCAAAGGGCTGAATTGTCTACTCCTATTTTCTATGCTTCTAAAAACAGATTGCATGTTTGAACTTCATCAATATATGCATTTAATATTGTACATTTTAGATTTAAAGATGTAATGCTAAAATATGCAAAAGTGCTATAAGCATAAGAAAACTAAAGTATTCTAATCAAGCACAATTTCAATTGTGTAAGTGTAATGACTGGGAGTTTTTACAAAGCTACCTCATGATTCCAAACAGAATCAATAGCATTTTCAAAGTCACTTTTTGGGTTTTATTAATGGATAAATATAGAATAGGTTTGAAAATTAACAAGTGATTTGGTCAAAACCAATAGTTTATCACAAGTCAATTAAGTCCAAGCCAATGTGCCAATGAATGTTAGATTACAACAGTAACAACATTTCAGAAGCAAATTTTATTGGCTGTACAGCATATTTTTCAGGAAACAGAAATCAAGAAAGAGGCTACATAAATGCAAACTTTTCCTTCTTGCACTCGAGGTTTCAGCTCAGATACTTGGAATTCAGCATAATGCCAATAATTTTCCAGCATGCCTTTTACATACATACATGGGGCATAGTATTCTGAGCAATGCCAGATTTTGTTGAGTCATTACATACCTAAAATGAGACAACTGCAGCAATGGTTAGTAAAATATGCTGTACTGTTCAATCTTCCTACGGACATTCTTAAATAAGTTTGAAGTACACGACACCTTCACCAAAATTGACTAAAATTTATTTTAAATGCGGCATGTATAAAATAGCAAAGCAAAATTTCTTGAAAACTGCTTATGCAAAATTTACAGGATTAAAAAACAGAAATGAAAGTCTGTCGTAGAAACACTAGTGCTATAGAGCCTTCTGAGATTGGCACACACCAACACATTTTTCCTGAGCGAAGAAGTGTTCAGCATATAAATTGCACAATCCTGTAACTGTACTGTGCAAAAAAGAAGTTTCTTAAGACCACAAAATGCCATTTCCCATTCCAGCCTTTATAGTTTTCAGAAATATTTTATAATAAATACAAACTAATCAAAGTGCTCCCTCAAAACTGAACCAATACTATTATTTGCCTATCACAAAATCTTGCACCTGCCTTGAATCCATATCCACAATCTTCAAGTGGTCAGCAACATCTAAAATTCATTAGCTTTCAAACAAAGGTTGTCCCCAGCCAGCACAAATACTTGTATCCAAAAAATATTTGGTCCCCAAGCCATAAAAAAGAATCTTAGTGTTAACTTTTCCACTCATCCTTTATCTAGAATTCTCGTTTCTGCAGGATCTAGCTTACAAATCAACATCTTGCAGTCCACTTTTTATATTGCAAATATGGTGGCCAGTTCATTTTTTGGTCAATGGTAATACCCAGGTTGTTGATAGTGGACAATTCAGATAGTAATGTCATGAGAGATTTTTAATTTCTCTCTTGTTGTAGATGGCTATTTTCTAGCACTTGTGCCGACAAGTCTGAATGTTGTCCAGGCTTGCTGCACATGGTTACAGATTGCTTCGGTATCTGAGGAGTCACGGATGTTGCTGGACAAAGTGAACATCACACTTCTGACTTCCTGATGGAGATGGTCATTGATGAAGCAGCTGCAGTGTTTGGTCTGGGACACGACCCTGAGGAATTCCTGCAACAATGGGTTTGGGATTGAAATAACTAACTTCCAAGAACCTCAATATTTTGTGCCAGGTTCGACTCCAACCAATGGAGAGCTCTCTCCCTTCAAACTTCCAGCTACATCAATTTTAGTCTGGCTCCTTAAAGTCACAATTAGTCAAATACTGACCTTGGTGTTTCAATGCCACTCATTCACCTCAGTTCTAGAGTTAAGCTTTTTTGTCCGTGCTTGGACAAAGCGAGATCAGAAGCCAAGCAACCCCAGCAGAGTTCAAACTGAGGATCAGCTTATGACTTTGTTACAGCCACTTGATAGCGCTGTTGATGGCACCTTCCATTGCTTTGTTGAAGGCCAAGCTGTACTGTGAATTCTAATTAATTTTCTGGAAAAATCACATTCTGTAATTAAGATTTTTGTTATGGGTCTTCAGCCATTTCACTGAATGGGTAGAATTCTCAAATGAACTACTGTGATATATGTATA